TAATATTCTTTCCGTTTGATGTGGATAGGTAGTGTAAAAATTGTCTGTAGCGTCTATTGTCCCAAGCACTTTCGATCACGTTAGTCATTCAAGCGTTTTGTTGTTTATATATATATATATATATATATATATATATATGTATATAATAAAAAGGCTTAAACACTAATATTCCATTGGAATCGTAAATACGATCCAATTCATCAGACCTACAAATTCAAAAAGAAAACAGAAAAAACAACTCCGGAAATAAAAACAGAATTTAGAGAGAGTGTAAGTATGAGGAGGAGGGAGATTAAACCTTAACAGAGAGAATTTTAGGACTGGTGGGTGGAAGGGGTTTAAGTAAGAGAAAAATGAATGTTGTCGGATGTCTAAAGCATAAAGATACATTTCGTGGTGACATACACACACCATAGACAATCTAATGTTAGAATAAGAGGGAGGGAAAGACGAGTTGGGGGAGAGATGGGACGACGGAAAGTAAAATTGAACAGCGTGCCGCTTTGTAATTGAGAAAATTTGACAAATTTAATATCGACCACAGGTTACAAATCAAATATAAACATATAAAAAATAAATATAACGATTATCTAATCTAGCAAGGACCTATATTTCTATGTTCAAAAACACATGCGAATACACACATACACAATAACATATACACGTATATACATACACATAGGCGTGTACCCAATACACACATAAATATATCCATGTACACTCATATAAAAATATAATATATATATATATATATATATATATATATATAATAGCCGAATTACCCGCGTTTTCTTTTTGTAAGAAAATGATGATTAATTTTGAATGGTAAAATGTGCTCTAGACGTGAAGAGGTTAATATTATAGTGATTGCGGAAGCATCCAAGCAGGAGTCTCTTCGACAAAGTGACAAAGTAGAGGTTTTTGCTAATGAACAGTCTGAAGAGAACTTCCTTCTTATGAATGGAATACAAAGAGAATGAGAGAATTTGATCCTGTGCATATAAAATACCGGGTCTTACCTATAAAGAGGTGAACTGATGGAAGTAAAGAAAAGCATTTCCTACTAACATTTACTAACGATATAGTGTAACGATACGATTTCTCGCACATCCTTAGGAGATGATTAGAAAAATTCCTTTTCCTTTTAAGTCCGTTTTTTATTTATTATTTGTGTTTCTTAGAAAAATAGTCCATCTTTGAATCAACTTAAGTGTCAAGATTTTCAGAAATTCCGTTTCCAGCCGCTTTTGAATTGGCAAACATAAAATTTTGTTAATGATTTCAGATAACCATAAAAGTATTCCTTTGAAGAAGATGACAATCCAAAAAGCTGAATAGGTGGTCTCTTGTTCCAGAACACAAAAGGATGGATAGGGGAGGTAGAACCCCAGTTAGTATCGATATAAACAGTGAGAGAGGCAGGAAGTAAGTAGGTGTAAATGAGTAAGGGAGCAAGTGATTTTCTGAGCGCAGCTTACATGTGGCACAAGGCCGAAAGTATGGGGCACCCAGTGAGGATCGAACTCACTACTCAGTTGTAGAAAGTAGAAAGTAAATCTTTCTAACCATTACATTACGTCGAGGTGCCCAAGGAGTAAGGGAGTAAGTTACTAGCGGTCAGAGAAGAGGAAAAGACCAGCAGTAAGAAATCAGTAGTCGACTCAACGGTCAGTGAATCTAAGGGACCGTGGCCGGAAGTTAGGGAGATAGCAGTTCAGCTGAAAGAAAACATAGACGGCTAAGCGAGAATTCGTACTGTTGCTACTTCCCAACCAGAGTGTCTTTAAAATCATTTGCCAGTATTTTTTGTTGAATCCGATCATGGCTTAAGAGAGAAAACTGTGAACATATCATGTCGGGTACAGACGCATCCGACATTGGATGCCATCACAGGTGCACTGAACGACGGAGGGGCGTAGCACGTCGTCACATAGCGATAATTTCGTTACATTAAATCGGATGGAAAGTGGCTGTAGGATGGACTTCCCTTGGAGCGTGGTGAAGAATATTGCGCGTCACAATGATTCTGTCATCGAGGTCGTCGAAGGCTTAGTTTCTGGTAGGGGCGACCCAAGCCGGCAAAGTCGAGGATGTAAGACCAGAAAAAGAAAGATCCCACTTAAAATACCTCAACGACAGTCCAGGCAGAAGAAGATATCAAAACCAACGACTCTGAAGGTAGGTGAAGTCTGCAAAATACCTTTCGACACCAATCGTCTTGGCAACATTACCATTGGTTTGAGATGGTCGATGTGTGAATAATCATGTGCTTCCTGCAGTGCAACATCAAATACATGTTAAACAAACACGCGCAGAGGTGTCTTATTCTGTGGGCCAGCACGAATATCCTCCTCGACCACGAGGGTATCGCCACGACGTAGAGAAGAAAATAAGTAATCACCCACAAGGCCGCGTAAACGATTTTTAATTTTGTCATAGGTGGAAATTGAGGATTGAATAACTCTAATCCATATATAGCAACAATCGATATTTTTTTCATTAATGTTTATTAATATATATTTAGATTTGCCATACTGACTTAAGCTGGTACGTATTATAAGTTGGTATTATTGTGGTCATGTGATCTAAATTTTGAGCTTGGTCGCGCCAGCTTTCTTATTGCTGTTACAGTGTGAAGGTGGCCGCTCCGTTAGCAGTTTGCAATAGGGCGGAACAAAGAGCAGTGATCCGAATCTGCAGACAACATGCTAGCTCATTGATGATAACTGGTAGGATCGACATTACCATCTCTCGAGGTTGCTGAATCTTCTCGACGGTGATGGAGGTTAGCGGGCGTTCTGCTCATTTTTCGTGCGTCACACTTGTTCGGCCGCTTTAACACTTCTCGGTCTATTCACACAGTTCTACGCGGCAGTGCACTGTAGCCGTATTGTCTTGAAATTCTCCGATGAATTTCAGCTCCTAAAACAACTTTTCTACGAGAAAAATCCAAAAAAAGAGCCATGGTGGAGTAATGGATAGCGGCTCGGATTGTGGAATCGTAGAGCAGAGTTTGAATTCCAGTGCTAATACTCTTGGGAAAGGTACGAATCCTCTTCTTCTCCACCCCAACTAAATAGCAGGACTGACGGGGTTCTATAGCCTTGAATGGCAACAGGTCTACCGCAGAAAGAAATGGCATGAAATGCCGGAAAAAAAAAAATCTGCCTCGTCAGTCATGTATCGAAAGCTACATGGTCGCCTAAGAATTAAGAAGTAGAACATATAAAGTGACACAAATCCAAGTGTCCATATATATAATATAACTGATTTTAACATAAAATAAATTTAATTCACTAATATATTAGAATTTATTCATCTCAGCTGACCAAAACATGTAACATGCCTTTACTAATGAGAAGGGTGATACTGAGATCTGGACTGGATTATCTAGGCCAGATCTGGTTTAAAGACAGTGATTTTAGAAATTGGCTGGAAAAGAGGAAACTGAGGGTCACAGTGCTGCTGCTATTTTTGGTAAAACATAAAATCGCATTTCTTTGGTGCGAACTTTACATACTCTGACAATACTTGCG